CCTCCGCCTCCCAAGTAGCTGGGACCACAGGCGCCCGCCACAACGCCCGGCCATTTTTTGGTTGCAGCCATCATTGTTGCTTGGTGGGTCCGGGCTGGGGATTTGAACCCACCACCTTAGGTGTACATGGCTGGCGCCTTAGCTGGTTGAGCCATAGGCGCTGAGCCAAAGCCCTCATTTCTTAATAGTTTTGAACCATTGCATCATGCACATTTCTTAATAGTTTTGTACCATTGCATCATGCACATTAGGTGAGGTCCCCCCAAATAACCCCCCCCTCCTATATCCCCCCTCCCATCCCCTCTCTCTCCTCTTCCCTTCTAATTTCTGGACTATACTTATGTTTTACCATTTGTATGAGTGTGTAGGTGGTTATGTATTGATTTCATAGTAGTATTGAATACATTGGATACTTTTTTTTCCATTCTTGAGATACTTTACTAAGAAGAATATGTGGCTCGGCACCTGTGGCTCAAGTGGCTAAGGCGCCAGCCACATACACCTAAGGTGGCAGGTTCAAATCCAGCCCAGCCTGCCAAACAACAATAATGGCTGCAACAAAAAAATAGCAGGGGTGTTGTGGCGGGCACCTGTAGTCCCAGCTACTTGGGAGGCTGAGGCAGGAGACTCGCTTGAGCCCAGGACTTGGAGGTTACTGTGAGCTGTGATGCCACAGCACTCTACCCGGGGGATAGCTTGAGGCTCTGTCTCAAAAAAAAAAAAAAAACAAAGAATACATTCCAGATCCATCCAAGTAAACATAAAAGATATGAAGTCTCCATCTTTTTTTAACGGCTGCACGGTATTCCATAGTGTACATATACCACAATTTGTTAATCCATTCATGGGTCAGTAGACACTTAGGCTGTTTCCATGTCTTGGCAATTATGAATTGGGCTGCAATAAACATTCTGGTGCAAATGTCTTTATTGTAAAATAATTTTTTATCATCTGGGTATATACCTAGTAAAGGATTGCAGGATCGAACAGTAGGTCTACTTCTAGTTCCTTGAGTGTTTTCCAAATTTCTTTCCAAAAAGGTCATATTAACTTGCCTTCCCACCAGCAGTGTGGAAGTTCCCTTCTTTCCGCATCCACACCAACATCTGTAGTTTTGGGATTTTTTGATGCGGGCTAATCTTACTGGAGTTAGATGATATCTCAAAGTGGTTTTGATTTCTATTTCTCTGATGATTAAGGATGATGAGCATTTTTTCATGTGTTTGTAGGCCATGCACCTGCCTTCATCAGAGAAGTTTCTGTTCAAGTCTCTTGCCCACATAGAAATGGGGTTATTTATTCTTTTCTTATTGATTAGTTTGAATTCTCTGTAGATTCTAGTTATCAGACCTTTGTCAGAAGGATAACCTGCAAAAATCTTCTCCCATTCTGAAGGTTGTCTGTTTGCTTTACTTACTGTGCTCTTGGCCGTGCAAAAGCTTTGTAGTTTGATCATATCCCAGTAATGGATTTTTGGTGTTGCTTCAATTCCCCAGGGATCTTCCTCATAAAATATTCTCCCAGGCCAATTTCTTCAAGTGTTTTCCCTGCACTCTCTTCTCGTATTTTTATAGTTTCAGGTCTTAAGTTTAAATCTTTTATCCAATGAGAATCAATTTTTGTTAATGGTGAAAGGTGGGGGTCCAGTTTCAGTCTTCTACAGGTCGCCATCCAGTTCACCCAGCACCATTTGTTAAATAGGGATTCTTTCCCCCACTGAATTTTTTTGATAGGCTTGCCAAAGATCAAATGACAATAAATAGCTGGGTTCATCTCTTAATTCTCTATTCTGTTCCATAAATCTACTGCTCTGTTTTTGTGCCAGTACCATGCTTTTTTGATCATTATAGATTTATAGTATAGCCTGAAGTCTGGTAATGTGATACCTCCTGATTTGTTCTTATTTCTGAGTAATGTATTTGCTATTCAAGATTTTTTCTGATTCCATATAAAACGAAGTACTATTTTTTCAAGTTCCTTAAAGTATGACCATAGTGCTTTAATAGGAATTGCATTAAATCTGTAGATTGCTTTGGGTAGTATGGACATTTTAACAATGTTGCTTCTACCCAGCCATGAGCATGGTATGGTTTTCCATTTGTTAACGTCTTCAGCCGTTTCTTTTCTCAGAGTTTTATAGTTCTCTTTATAGAAATTTTTCAGATATTTCATCTTCTTTGGCACTATTGTAAAAGGAATGGAGTCCTTGATTGTTTTTTCAGCTTGACTATTGTTGGCATATATAAAAGCTACTGACTTGTAAGTATTGATTTTGTGTCCTGAGACACTGCTGTATTCCTTGATCACTTCTAAGAGTTTTGAAGTTGAGTCCCTGGGATTTTCCAGATATGGATCATGTCATCAGCGAAGAGTGAGAGTTTGATCTCCTCTGACTCTATTTGGATACCCTTCTCTTGCCTGATCGCCTTCTCTTGCCTGATTGGGGATAGGTAAGACTTCCATTACTATGTTAAATATGTAAAGCCATCTGGTTTGAGACTTTTCTTTTTAGGGAGATTTCATATTGTTGATGCTATTTCAGTGGTTGATATAGGTCTATTCAAGATTTCTCATTCTTTCTGGTTGAGTCTAGCAAGGTGGTGTGCTTCCAGGTATTGGTCCATTTCCTTCAGATTTTCATTTTTCTGGGAATAGAGATTTTTGTAGTAATCATTGAGGATTTTTTGAATTTCTGAA